GGGCACTGACGCGGGACCATGTATATATATATATATATATGCTAGCCACTCATTGGAAAGGCACATCAAGCTGCGAACAAGTTAAGTATAGGGTGCAAGTTTCCTTCGAATCGCACGAGATGGGAAGGCCACATGTAAATTCTCTGTGTGAAAGCACAGCACGGCGGGAAACCAGCAGCACAACCGTGGAGCAGTTATGCACCACCAAAAAAACTCAAAAACTAGCAAAGCAAGATGTTCAACCCGATGCTAACCTATTTTTTGTGTGTGATGGTGTTGCTTTGTGTTTGTTACTTACATTGTTCTTTAGAGTCTTTTGCTGTGTTCAGTCTGCTCTTCATCATAGAGTTGAACTGTTTGCTTTTTGCCTGCATTAATCAAGGGTTTTCACCACCTTTGTGCAAGAGTCTTTCTTTCTATGTTTTGATGCTACGGTGGAAATGCAAATGTCATGGACAGTGTACTGTTCCTCTTGAGTGGATTTGCTTATTCCTTCGAGGCAGGGCTTTCGCATTAGCAGGGCGTTAGGACTGTTGGGATTTCAAGAAAAGAAAAAGCCTTAAGGCAAGTTGCGAAAGATTGAATTCCAGGTTTGACAGGCCTAATTATTCCAGAGTTCCAGGTTTGCTACGCCTGATCTGATTCCAGATTGTCAAGTCTTGAACAATGCCAGAATACCAGATTAGCAAATTTGGAGCAATCCAGTGTTACAAATCTGGAATTTTGGAATATAGTTAGACTGGAATTCTGAATTTGTTCCAAATTTGAGAATCTGGTGTTGTAGATATCTGGATTCGAGGCTCCTCAAAAATGCTGTTGTCTGGTACTATCGAAGTATACACTTGAGTCACTTAATTTCGTGATATCAAATCACAGTGGTTTATGACTGCAACGCCCGGCGAACGAAAATGTGCGCTTACCTTTTCCCGCGAATATTTCAGCATAGCTTTCTGCGCAGATCCCTGTAGCAGCAGCATGCGTCTCTCGTGACTGTCTTCTCGATGCCACAATGATCTGATCGTTTCAGCACACTGCTTCAAGGCTTTGTCGCAATAGTTAGTTATAGGCCCGTCAAATCTGGATTCTTGGAATGGTTTTTTGGAGATCTGAAAACCTGGAGTTATGGAATGATTAGGCCCGTCAAATCTGGAATTCTGGAACTGCTTCAGATTCGGGCATCTGTAAGCCGTCAAATCTGGAAATCTGGAACCTGTTCATTGGTAAGGAATCGTCCCAATATATTCAGTGCTACAGGCAGTTTTCGACGTGATGCAGTTTGCGGGTCACCATCTACATTCCTGTATAGGTCCACGGCCCATGCTCTTTGAGCGCATGCATTCCTTATACGAAGAGTATGGCACATATATACTAAAAACCATTGCCCCCATTGCAACCTTCAATGTATGTTCCAGTTGGGCATTTTTTGCCCGCGGAGGACTAAGACTTGTCAATATGAGCCTCACTACCGGTTCGGGTCTGTCCGGTTCCTCGATACATTCCATGGTAGGGCGTGTAGGACTATGAGTAGAAATCCAGTACCGATTATAAATAATTACAGGTAGTAGTGATGAGGGGCTGGAATGTTCCGCGCATGTGTGGTGTGCTCAGGCTTTTAAATATCTTGAGTTTCTATTGAAGATGCGCTGAGTGGAAACACGGGTTGCACCCAGAATAAGCACGGCACTGTGGCGGGGGCACGAATTTGGGGCGAGGAGCTGATACTCCTGGACATGTCTCATACGAGTAGAAAACACATACGACAGGTGCAATCATGCTCCATGTTCGGTTTAGTATTGCCCTTAGCCATCGGGGTTACAAGCCTCATTAATCTCGCACCAATTTTCACAAGCCCGCTTTACTTGGGGACCTTGATTCCATAAAGGGACTGATTCAATATGACCCTCACAACCACGTTCACAGTATGTCTCACTGTACTCCACAGTGTAGCAACTTTGTTCGTAATTGTCCAAATAGTTATTTTGAGGCCACGGTATTGGATTGGCACCCTTGAGTACGCCAGTGAAAACGGCAGTAAACTCTCACATTTACTGTGCTTTTATATATATAACTAGATATGTGATCGAAACCGCCTTTGAAGATGGCATCTTGAAGCCGCACCAGATGCTTGCATGCACATCGAAACTGAAGGTTTTCACAAAGTGATCGCATCCGTATGTGGGAAAGTTGGCGCACGAAGTCGCGGGGATGTCTGGTCGACAGCATGTATCCAGGTTGTGACATGTATAAAGATGGGGATGGCCATAGCCAAAAGTGGTACTAGTAAGAGCTTCAAGCGACAATTATACCACAATTGCGTTAGTGTTGTTTTCATCCCCAGAATGTACCGAGTAACGACGATTCTTGTATGGCGGGATGCCTGCCTAGGCTTCTCGAGCTGCTGATCAAGAGGCACGGAAAGCAGCCCGTCCTTTCAGCGGCTGCCAGTAACAATGCTCAGTGTTGCGGTACCTTTTTGATCTTGACTGTCATTCCTGATATC